GGTCCGGGTTTCAGTGCCCAGCACGCACGTCAGGGTTTACAACCATCTGTAACTGGAGTTCCAGGGGACCCAACACTCTCTTCTGGCTTCCATGGGTGCCAGGCATGCATATGGTGCACATAGACTTGGGTAGGCAGACACTCACAGGCATTAAAAAAAGAAAAATAATTGACAGTGTCACTGAGCAGACAGCCACCAAAATACTCGGTCTAGCCTCCAATAAAGACACGTGCTGCATTTAGGCATTACTTCCTGCATTCTTCATGTGTCACCGGTGTGACATTTAGAGACACTGCAACATCAGGCTAAGAACTCTGGTCAAATAGAGCTTGTTGCAGATACGGGCTTGCTCGTTGCCTGAGTCATCCTTGGGAATTAAACAGTCTGAACTTTAGCTCTCTGCTCTGGGATATGGGTCTTACAATAACAGTAATTTCTAGCCTGCAGAGTTTTCTCAGCAATTAAGTATAGGAATTATGTTAAGTCCAATGAACGCAGAGTTTGGGAGCTTCTCATGGTTGGGAGCTAGCAGGAAGAAAGAATGTGAGTTTCTGAGCCTAGCAAACCCAGCATGTGCCCACACCTAAAGCTCTCTTTGTCTAATGGAAGCCCAGAGGTCAGTGCGGTGGCGTGCCTGGGCGGCTCCTGTTTAGATCTAGCCACATCCCAAAGCTTCCTTCCGGCCCAGCTTGTTATTGTGACTCTCTTCACCTCCTCTTTGAAGTTTCTAGATTGACAAATGTTATTCAGTCACCACACACACACACACCACACACACACACACACACACACACACACACACACACACACACACACTTTCGGCTTTACGTGTAGGTTTTAAAAAAAATAAAAGGTCACAGGAAACTGGGGGGGGAAGTGAGCATTTGGTTTCTGACCTTATACTGGGGGACTTCTGGAAGCTTCTGCCGTCAACGCCACACATGTTAATTTCTGTCTGGGTGCTTGCCTCAGACTCAGAAGAAATGGAAATGAGCAAGGAGGGCCTTTCTGTGAGCAGCTAGGAATTATAAACTGATCAGCCATAGATGAACAGTCTGTGTGGATATTTTAGTGCGTCAGAGACACAGCCAAGAAATCACACAGGTATAGTTTTAAAAGTCTGAATAGCATTTTCTTATATGTGCAACGGAATATTCACGCTGGACCGAAGTAAAAAAAAAAATCTCTCCAAATTCTTCCAGTGTGTCCCAGGGTATTAAAAATAACATTTATAGGATAGGGGGCTGCAGATTTTTTTTTCCTATAAAATAGTACTGGATAGTAAATACTTTTTCGTTTATGGAGCAGAGCTGATCTTTATTGCAGGAAGGTCCCTATTAAGAGAATCCACAGAGGGCTTCTCTTTCCCTCCCCCAACGCCTCTGTTTAACAACCCTTGAAAGTAGGGGGAGGGGATAACTTAGTCACAAGGCTGTACAAAACCTGGCTAAATCTGCCTGCTTTAGGACATAAGGCTCTATTCGTCTGACAGCACAAACACGGGAAAGCTCGGAAGTGGTCCAGCCTGTGCCAGCTGCCAGCATCTCTCATTGTTACTAAATGACCTGACCATTTCCCCTACAGAGCCCGGTCAATTAACCAAGCCAGTTTAGGGCAAGGCATCTCATGTAGATCTGGCGGAGGAGAGATGAGAGAAGCAAGAGTCCTGTGCCAGTGTGCCTACAGGTGGCAGGGATATGGGCTGTAATCTGCTGTGGCACCTGAAGAGTGTTTCATCCGTCTTTAATTTTGCTATCTGGGACTTTTGTGTGTGTGAGTGTGTAACTGTCATGGTCTGCCACTACCTCTGCCACTCCTGTCCTGTCTTAGCTGTCCCTGTCATGCTCTGATCTTCCTAAAATAAGCAGAGTCCATTTCTTATTATCCAAAGTGAATGTGTGTTCTGGGGGCTGGTGAGGTGGTTCAGTAGTTAGTCCTGTACTGTTACTGCAGGTGACCTGAGTTCAGGTCCCAACACCTACACTGGGTGGCTCAAAACTACCCTATAACTCCAGCTCTAGGCAATCTGACACCTTCTGAGGTCACACACACACACACACACACCACACACACACACACCACTTGCACATAATTAAAAATAAAATAAATCTTAAAAATACAGAATGTGTGTTTTGAAGGGTCCATCACTAATTGTGTATTTTTTCCTATTTTGTAAGGACTTATTTTACTTTTATTTTGTGTGTATGAGTGTTCTGGTCTCGAGCATATCTGTGTGCCACACGTGTGCCTGGTGCCTGTGAAGGCCAGAAGAGGGTGCCAGATCCCCTGGAACCAGAGTTAAGGACAACTGTAAATTGACATGTGGGTGCTGGGAACCAAACCTAGGTCCTCTGCAAGAACAGCAAGCGTTCTTTACCACTTCATTATCTCTCCAGCCCTCTTCTTCTTTAAAGTGCATTAATGTTATCTCTTCAGAAAACTATACTGTGTCCAGTTCCTGGAAGTCTAAGATTTCAGCATTACTTTGGTTTGGGTGGCATGAAGCAGAATTATGGTCTTGGATTTGGTCAGTGGGTTCGGCACACATTTCATTAAAAAGTCAGAACGTTCCATGATTGTTCTTTCCTTTCACTCCAGGCAACATAGCTTTAAGTGGCTCTATCAAGTGTCAGCTGGAACTCCTTCAAGATGCCGTAGTCATCTTCTTAGCTACCTGGCTTGAATTCTCATCACCGCCCTCGCCTCTAATAATGTCCGACATCAAGTCCATCTCAGCATCTTCCACCAACTGCTTTCCTCTCTGTTCCCTTACAGAGACATTCCAGAAAGGGTCCTCAGAGATGTCCTGTCTTCTTGCTCCCTCATGTGTGTTCTTTCTTTCTGTGCCTCATGGGCGCTTCTCATCTGCCAGAGAACAACTCAAAGAGAGTCTCTGCTGCTGTGCCTTCCATGTCTCTCTAAGCTTCCTCACTCCCCATCTGCCCACACATTGTACCATAAACCTGGTCCCCTTCTGGGATGTCATGGTGCTCAGCATTTGGGTGCATGCCCCAACTCCTCCACTGGATAGTTTGAGGACAATGCGTGCCTGTAGCAGATAGCCAGGAATCCACTGTCAGAGGCTAAGGCCTGCTATTAATGAGTGCCTCAAGGGCAGATGAACAGCACATGACTAGAATTCTGTCTTTCGTGTGGATGTCTTCAACTACCCTCCGCCCCCTATAGAGTACAAACCATGTCCTTTTTCCCAAGAGGAGAACTAGTGACAGATGATCAAAGCTGTCAGGTGAAACAAAGCTGCACATATGACGTTAGGTCTCTATCCTCAGCAACCATACACATTGAAGAAAGAGGGATATGGAGTGGACATAAGGGGACAGACTTCAGAGGCTACTCCCCCTGCTTCTCGGGGCCAGAGCTGGTATATCAGGATAGCGTGGGTGGGAGTCGGAATGAGCAGAGTGTATTGGAGGTTGGGATCAATAGGAACAACAGGGCTGTGACAGCCTCTAGAGCAGTGGTCCTCAACTTTCCTAATGCTGTGATTCTTAAATACAGTTCCTCATGTTGTGGTGACTCCCAACCACAAAATTATTTTCATTGCTGCATCACAGCTGTAATTTTGCAAATGTTATGAATCGTAATGTAAATATCAGTGTTTCCCAATGGTCTTAGGCATTCCCTGTGAAGGGGTCACAACCCACAGCTTGAGAACCACTGATCTGAAGCTTTACCAGGGACTGTATGGGTTGGTTACTTTTCTCTTGCTGTGACCAAATGACTTGACCAGAATCGAACGAAGGAAGGAGGAGACTGATTATTCAGGCTTGCAGTTTGTAGTAATACAGTCAGTCATGGTGAGGGCTATATCACATCAATAGGAAGCAGAAAGTTCACTGAAAATGAGTTGATACACCTCAGGATCCACCCTGAAACACCAGCTTCCTCCAGCGAGTGAGGTTCTATAAGCTTCCAAGCCAGCACCAGCAGCTGGGAATCAAGTTTCCAAACACATGAGCCTGTCAAACATTTAACCACTGCCCTACTTAAGCAGGTGAAGGCAGGAGTTATGTCATTCTGCCTCTATCCTCAGAACGGAACGTAGTCAACTGTTCAGTTATTGTACTCAGCTCTGATTGTGCTGACACAGAAGCACAGTGACACAGGAAGGTTACAGACGTCACAAAAGACATTGTACCAGGTTTCCTGGCCTTTCCTACAGAGTGGCATTTCAGTGGAAGTTTGAAGAGTAGGAGCTATCTGAGATATCTGAGGAGATATGTGATCTCAGACAAGGATTACCCTTGTTCCTTCCCATGGTTCCACCTTCTCCTGTTCCACATCCAGGTCATGCTGAACCATCAGCTCTGTGCCTGAGGGGTGAGGAGAGGCAAGGCCTCTTGGAAGCCTGTTACCTTATGTCAACCTGGTGTGGACATGTGTATGTGCATTACACACATAGATGTGTGTTTATGTCTGCAGGTACACAAGTGTGCTCATGTGTGCCTGAAGATGCATTTTTTAGGAATGACATGTACCCTTTTGGAGACAGGATCTCTCACTTAGACTGAGACTCACTGACCTCACTGGACTGGAATGCAAGTGAACCTCAGAGCTCCACCCGCCTCAGTTTCCCCAAAGCAGGGATTACAAGTGTATGTATATTTACATGGGTTCTGCGGGTCTAGCACAGGTCCTCACCCTTGCATGGCAAGTGCTCTACCTGCTGAACCACCTCCCTGGTTCCCCTTCGTGTGTGTGATTGCTGGTGAGGAAGAGACTGGCAACCATTCTCTGACACAATGGCTATGCATCAGTCTTTGGTTGGTGCGGTATCCTTGATCATCGCTGATTCGGTTTCACACTGGGAAGGACATGGGCGGTGTGCTAGCGTGTAGCATCCCTGCAAGGAGTCACTGGTTTCCATGGACACGGCACAGATGCTACTGTGCGTAAATACACAGCTGTGGACTTGCTTCCCGGTGGTGCACACCTGCTGAGCCTAACGCCTTCTTTCCTCTGCCTTGTCTCCACATCAGATTACACCACCAGCAGTCCCGACCTGCTGCTGGTCATCATTCAGGTGACCGGCGTCAGCCTCCTGCCTCCACTGGGGATTGCCATAGCCGTCATCATCATCTTCTACTGCTACCGCGTCCACCGGCAGCAGAAGCTGAGCCCTGCCTGGGAGAGCAACAAACCTCGGAAGCTCATGGAGTTCAGCGACAACTGCGCCATCATCCTGGAGGACGACCGCTCCGACATCAGCTCCACGTGCGCCAACAACATCAACCACAACACGGAGCTGCTGCCCATCGAGCTGGACACGCTGGTGGGGAAGGGCCGCTTTGCGGAGGTCTACAAGGCCAAGCTGAAGCAGAACACCTCCGAGCAGTTCGAGACCGTGGCTGTCAAGATCTTCCCGTATGAGGAATACTCTTCGTGGAAAACGGAGAAGGACATCTTCTCGGACATCAACCTGAAACATGAGAACATCCTGCAGTTCCTCACGGCCGAGGAGAGGAAGACGGAGCTGGGCAAGCAGTACTGGCTGATAACGGCCTTCCATGCCAAGGGAAACCTGCAGGAGTACCTCACGAGGCATGTCATCAGCTGGGAGGACCTGAGGAAGCTGGGCAGCTCCCTGGCGCGGGGCATCGCTCACCTCCACAGCGACCACACTCCGTGTGGGAGGCCCAAGATGCCCATCGTTCACAGGGACCTCAAGAGCTCCAACATCCTAGTGAAGAATGACTTGACCTGCTGCCTGTGTGACTTCGGGCTGTCCTTGCGCCTGGACCCTGCTCTGTCCGTCGATGACCTGGCCAACAGCGGGCAGGTGAGCGGGAGCTTGATGCTCTGACCCTGGCTTCATGCCTGACCTCACCTCTACCCTTTTTATTTTCTTTCTAAATTTTTGCATTTGGAGAGGGGTGTGTGTGTGTGTGTGTGTGTGTGTGTGTGTGTGTGTGTGTGTGTGT